CATAGCCAAAGCTTTTGACAAGGTCTGGCATGATGGTCTAATAGTCAAATTAGCCCGTTTTGGGATCCCTAGTGGTTTGACTAAAATCATTGGTAGCTTCCTGCAAGAAAGGTCCTTCCGTACTAAAATTAATAGCACTCTTTCGTCCGCCCGATCAATTGTAGCAGGTGTACCTCAAGGGTCGCCTTTGTCTCCCACATTGTTTAATGTATACACGGCAGACATCCCCACCTTAAGTCCCACATCAATGGCGCTTTACGCAGACGACACATGCTTGATCTACTAGGATCGGGATGCCTTAAATGTAAGCAACACGTTACAGGGAAATATAGACCTTATGGTGGAATACTTCCAAAAATGGAAGATTAAAATTAATAATGACAAAACCAAGGCTATATTTATAACTCGAAAAAGAAGACAGCATCCTCCAAGAGTGAGCGTTTGCGACACGGAGATATGGTGGGAGGATAACATAAAATATCTGGGGGTCACTTTTGACAAACGGTTCAATTGGCTTAAACATTTGAAATACAAACGGAATAGCTGCTCTAAGATTCTACATTTATTAAAGCCGCTATTTAATAATTATCACTTCAACTTTAAAAACAGAAAGTTACTTTATACGCAAGTAATTAGACCTGCTCTTCTGTACGGATGTGTTACATATAGCAAAGCCTCAAATACCACCTTAAAGCAATTACAGATAGCTCAAAACCTGGCCTTAAGAAAACTGTTTAAGATTCCATGGTACATTAGATCTACGGACATACATAGAGATCTTAGGATTGACTCAGTGAAAAAATATATCAGAGACAGAGCTTTAAAATTATTCACTAAAGTTGATACGCTACTTAACCCCGCCATAACAATCCTCAAGTCCACTTCTGGACTCTCAGGAAGATATGCTGATTTAAGGTCCGTCATCAACTAAAAGACAAATAAATGATATGATTTTTTAGCCTAGTTAAAGCCTAGTGTGGGGTAGTGATTAACCCCCCAGTCATTATAGAGTAAAAGTGCGTAATAGCACTAACTCAAGAAGAAGAAGAAGAAGAAGAAGAAGTGTAATATGTCAAAAAAAATATTTTAAAAGTGACATTTTAATAGATGGCTATTAACTTGATTTATTTTGACTATTATTTAAATTTCAAAACTTTGACGGTGGAATTGCTAGGTGGCAACGGAGATTTCTTAAGCAAATGCGCTTAAAACCGTACCCTTTAAACCCAAACTCAAACAGTTCTGTAAAACATAGATGGACAATTTCTATGCCATATAAAGCCGTATAAAAATATTACACGACAAAAAAGTAGCTAATAAAATATTACTTTAACCAAAGGTATAGCAGATATAGTCGCTTTTTTTGTAATATGTTTATAATTAATAGTTAATATATTGATTATAAAATTACATACTTTTATATAATTTGCTTAAGTAAAAATAGATCAACTTTTAAAGTTATAGATTATAATAAAAGACCTATTAGCTCTAATTAGAAAATTTGTATAGTATATTCCAACAAATTTGGTTATATATAGTTACAAAAGAATAATGGGGTTTTATTTTTGCCTAGTCTTTCGAGGTTATTGTAGAGGACCTAAAATTAATATTTTCTTTTATTGCTTATAGTTATTTCACACATTTTTTTAAGACTCTCAATATTTCAAATTTTTCTGCTAACATAATACACTCATCAAATGCACTAAACATAGTTAGCAAATCTTAAAAGCTCACATTCGAAGTAGTTTTATTTTTCCGAAAAGACATTAAAGCAACAATTAATTCCTTATTGGTATCACAATATTAAACGGAGATGCCAGACAGATTCACCAAAGTGGTGACTTCCTGTTAATGACAAATGATTACACTGTATTTCATATGTTAAGATAATTTTTGATTAAACAAGCATAATTTTGATAATAGCCGTAATTTTTCTTGCAAAAATATTACGTCTTAAGTGTTAATGCAGTTAAATTCAAAAATCACTCTGTTATGAATGTTTCTTAAAAATATATTGCAAAATTTCAGTCATCCGTTAAAGTCATATGAGCAGAAAATATATCAATGCAATATATCAAAGCAATAAGATAAAAATGCTTACCCTTGTTCTTCTATAATTTCTCTTGTTTTCTTTTGTTTGAATTAATTAATTTTTGGTAATAAGAATTTTTAAATTTCAAATTATACACGACATACCGTAAAATATGTCAAAAAAAATATTTTAAAAGTGACATTTTAATAGATGGCTATTAACTTGATTTATTTTGACTATTATTTAAATTTCAAAACTTTGACGGTGGAATTGCTAGGTGGCAACGGAGATTTCTTAAGCAAATGCGCTTAAAACCGTACCCTTTAAACCCAAACTCAAACAGTTCTGTAAAACATAGATGGACAATTTCTATGCCATATAAAGCCGTATAAAAATATTACACGACAAAAAAGTAGCTAATAAAATATTAGAAAGTAAAATAAAAATTTCAATAGATAAATATTTTTGAAAAATCATTAAAAATTAACGACAATGAAATAAATACAGAAATATTTTTCAGACTTTGATAAAAGATCACACCAAGTTTTAGAAAATATATTATAGGACACAAAAATTATAAAAGAAATATTTACAAACAAAACGAAAATTTTTATAGACAAACATTTTTGAGAAATTATAAAAAATGAACCAAACAAGCTGTCATAATAAAATAAAAATTTCATTCACTTCGGTATTTTCAGATTTTCAATGTTTGTTTTGAATAGATTTTGACATTTCACTTCCAATTCTTCTAAGATCGTAAAAAAATTTACGATATTAAGAAATTTACAGAGTTGAACAGAAAAATAAATACTATTTCTAAGGAGAATAAAAATTAATTTTGACCAAAACGACATAAATTTTTGTATGGTAAATTTGTGATTAAACAATTAGATTAGTACTTTAATCTGGATGATTGCTTTGATCTACTTTTAATCTCACAATATAAACGCAGTATAAGACATAAAATTTATAAATGAAATATTAATAAATTAAATGGAAATTTCAATAGATAAGTACTTTTGAGAGATCATAAAAAAAACAATTAGACAAACTATAAAAATAATTTTCAGAGTTATCTCATTTATTTTATGTAAAGTTCTGAATTTGCTATATCTCATTTGTATATAGTGGGCATTTCAGTACTTTTATTAAATAAATATTATATAATTATCTATTAAAAAATTGTACATTAGTTAATATAATATATTACATTTTATTTACTTGTTTATTTTCAATTACTGACTTTATTTCACCTCAAATGCAAATGCCTTCACTTACAGCTGCCGAAAATATATATTCACCGTGCTTTAATTTTATAAGAAAGTATAAACGGTGGTGAGAAAAGTTTGTTATTTACATGTACAAAAAAAATTTGTATACAGCTGTGATATAGAACCCTAGCTATTGCGATATTCCGAATATGTAAATATATGTGTGTTAATCTAAACACCACTTAATGTTCGAAAAAAAGAAAGAAAAATGATGCCTTTGTGGCTTTGGTTAATTTATTTGTATATTTCATGCACTTTTATATTCCTTTCTCGTTGGCATTGTTTTGTAACGTTGATGATGATACCTTCTAAAAATTTAGAGAAGACAGAGCTAAAATGCATCCATAATGATGATGTCTGCATACTTTGCTGCACATTTGACAGATTAGAGAATGAATACTGACGTTTAGTCATTTGTTTACATAAAAAACAATTTGCTTTTGCTAAATGTAATATATTCAAAGTTAGATTGAAAAGTGAAAATACTATTTATATAATAAGGTGAGTCATTTTCAGAAGAGACACACGTTCGAAGTTTTATTAACAAGTTTTGTAAATAATTACAATTCGTTCAAAGAACGTGAATTGATAAATCCGCCAAAAATTGATTTTTCGTTGTAAAATTTTGTTTTAATTTCATATACAGAATATTATTTGAGATTTTCTAACTGTAATATTATATTTATACAAAATTATTAAATATATACTTTGAAATTGTATTTGTACATATAAGTGAATAAAATTACATATTTTATGTTCAATATAAAACCAATTTTATATTCTCGTCAATGTTCGCCTGCAAAAGATTTTACGTGCAATTATTGTTGATAAAAGCAATTATCAATTTGATTAATATATGACTTTGAACCCGCATTCTGTATTACAACGTGTTTTATATTAAAAATTTTGTATTATTTATTGAGATTTTTCTATTTTAGTTTACAGAAAATTTTATACATATATGCATTCATCAAATTAATAAAATGTAACAGTTCCGTTTTATAACGTTCATAAGGCCTCCTTATGTGAAAATAAACACTTTTGGTTTAATTTATTATAATTACAACAACAAATTAGTTTATGGGAACTAGGTGTCTCAGGCTTTGGCTTGCTTTAACTTCCTTTTCACTTTGTGCACGAAATCGGTGGCTTCCACTGCAGCGTGCATTGGCCTCAGTTTTGATATGTGATTATGATGTAAAGTCGTTGCAGTGAGGGCAGGTTGTTGGTTAGTTTGTTTTGCGATAATACTGCTTGGTATTTTTCTTGGTTTTTTCGAAATCGGCTGAATTGCTGTAGCTACAATACCACCAGTCTTAAATTTATTAACTTGACTGCGAGTCTTATGGACATTGACAACGGAAACATTATTAGTTATTGGACGAGAGGGTGCTGGTACGTTACCACTTGACTTGTTCTTTGTTAGGCGCCGTATTATTTGCGTGGCACTACTAAATTTCGTTAAACCAGCTCTGAAAAATTAAATTAATCCAATAAAAAAATATATTTTTTGTGGAAATGCAAAAAAATAACCTCTTGCGTTTGGGCTTTGCTTTGTTGACGTCTGCTTTGGAAGAACTTTTCTGTGGCTTGCTACAGGAAGGAAGGTCTTTATCTGTATCTTTGGTTATTATCTGTACTATTCTTGGTGAAGTCAATTCATATGGCATATCGTCATTTCTTAGTTTTTGGATTGGATGCTGTATTTCCAAAAGTTTTCTTGAGCAGCCACTAGAAAAAGAAAATATTTAAAGTAAGCATACAAATACATATAAAATTCTTTAAAACTGTTTTAATAATTTTTAAACTTACTTCAGTATTGCATCTGCATCATATCGAATTGGTGGCTTTGCGATTACACTCGTTTTTTTGATGGGTGTTCTTGGTTTCAAGCCCCATTCTAAGGAATGTTTATTATCAACAATTTGCTGCGATGTGCCTGTCCAGACTTTCTTTTTCAATGACAATTTCAACTCTAATTCCTTATTTCGTTCTTGTTGTGCATACGTTTCAAATGGATTCTGTGTTCTATATTAAAATATTTATTAAGAAGTTACAGTTTATATTTTACTTATATAATTTTATAAAGAAGCTCTACGTTTGTTATGAACGCACCTAGATTTCAATAAGTGCTTTGCATTTTGATTAATACTATTAAATGAGTGTGTACGTCTGGCAGGCAAACCTATAAGTGGCAGTTCAGTAGGTCGGTTTTTATCAGGCGTGATATTCGGTGGTATTTTAGATTCATGAGCGCAATCTTCATTTGGTTTCTTTGTTGGTGACGTTATAATAAGTTCGGGCGGCATTTGCTTGGCATTGTCACCAAAAACTTGAAAATTGAAACGAAGGCGTGTGTCAATCTGCGCAGCCATTACTCTGCTTCTACGCGGCATTGTATTACTACTTGGTATATCTCTGTCGATGAAAAATTCTTCGTCTGTTAGTTGTAGATCCGTGCCAGGATCTGTCGTTGGCATATCAAGTGGTATACGTGCTTGTTCCTCTTTTTTACGATGTATTAGTTTGGTCCTTGTGCGCTTCTAATGAATTAAAAAATACTTATTAATTAAATATTTCTCAATTAAAAAATAAAAAAAAGAATTCCTTCGAGCCGGATTTGAACCAGCGACCTATGGATATCTATACTTGATGTTTTTTAATTTCTACAGTCCACCGCTCTACCAACTGAGCTATCGAAGGTGTTAAGTGCTGCGTGCCCAAGTTTACATAAGAGAATTGTTATAATTTTTTTTTTGTTTTTTTAATTAAAATTTTAGTTCATGAACATAATAGACAACGATTGATATTAAAGTTATATGAAGTCTTGCTACACTTTTTAAGGTTATAAAATATTTATATATTTCGAAAGTACGATAAGCTCAAAACTTAATCGTCTTCACGATTCAATTGAACCAAGTCCATGTGTCAGACTTTTAATGTGAAACCTGGTCTTCGTTTTTTTAACTTAAATGTTGTGAAATATCGTCAGAGGCTTCATCATAAAAAAGCCTCACATTATAGGTATATTTTTATATTTAAATATATTCTTTAAAAATTTTTTAAATTTTTATGTTTGTGTTATGGTAGAAAGCTGGAAATCAAACCGCTCAGATTGATTGCGCTGTTACTAAGTTTGTGACTAATATTGTATCCATAAAGACCTAGATACTCTCTACATAAAAAATGTAATTGGAAAATATACTTTTAAATATCTTGAGAGATGAACAATTCAAATGTATCCATTATCTATGGCTCTATTGAATAAAATTGAGAAGGTTTGAAGTCTTTACACTGAAATTACAAACTGAGAACGTAACATAAAAAAAATGTGCCAAATTACGCACTTTACACAGATTTTAATGGAACAGCTTTGTGTACAATCTGGTGAGAATGTCAGTACCGCGGAAATAAACAATACAAAAATTGAAATTCAAAGCAAAACAGCTGATTCACACAACACTCAAATTTTACTTGAAATAAACGGTGCGAGTAAAGTCTGTGTAAGATTTTTCAATTTCGACAGGGATGTTACGCTCTCTCAGATGTTCTCCTTATTCGAAAATTCGCTGGTAGAACGCACTTGTGTATACACAGTGTTACTCAAAGTTACTACGAGTAGCTCGTGGAACAGACCAATTTTTTATTTGATTTTAATTTTTTTTTATTAAATATATTTATTTTATTTTGAATCTTTTTTTTTAATATAATAATTTTTTGTATTTGTTTTTTTTAAATATAATAAATATTTTATAACATTCATATATTTTTATTTATGTATTTTTATTTATGTATTTTTATTTATATATTCTTATTTATATATTTTTATTTATATATTTTTATTTATATATTTTTATTTATATATTTTTATTTATATTTTATTAATTTTATTAATATATATATATAATTTTAAATTTATATTCATGTAGTTTATAACTTTCGCTTTGCCAGACCGTTTACTTTCCTAACATTTATAATTTTTATAAAATGGCTGTCATAGCTTAGACACACTATGGGGTTGTGTATTAGCTAAAATGTGTACTGATTGTAGCCAAAATATCCAAAAGTAGCATTGAACACAAACTCAGTACAGCCTTCGATAGCTCAGTTGGTAGAGCGGTGGACTGTAGAATTTAAAAAAATTAAGTATAGGTATCCATAGGTCGCTGGTTCAAATCCGGCTCGAAGGATAATTTTTTTTTTAATTTCTAAAAATTTTCAAGTAAAATAAAAAATTAATTTAGTTCTATATATTACAATAAATATAAAAAAAAATTATGTAAATAATTAATTATAGGAATAATTTTGTCAATATGAAAAATCAATAACGAATTAAAAATTCATTGCTAGAGAGTTAGATAGGTAGGCAAAGAGTAATTAATTTTATTAAGAGAACCTCTATTTCTTTAGG